TGGACACAATTATGATTATTGACATTCATCAGCAGGTTGATATCTATATGGGCTGGCATTGTTGACAAGTGTCTTCACGATCTGGGTTCATTGCAATTTGGTATCGGAGCAATACTTCCGATGATGTGACAGACGACGACGACGACTTTGACGACAGTGGAAGTGGTGACGCCTACAACAGAGAAGCTGACGTGGACAAGAGTGGGACAGCGCACGTCAGGTGCTGACGTGGCATTGGTATCTCGACAAGGGAAGACCAGCAGGATCGCACTGCGATCCAGATTCCGATCGACCGCATCTGCGAACGGGACGGCACTGCTGGCGTGGCCAGTGACTGTTAAGGAGTGCTGACGTGGCATTGCTGACTCACCACTCGTTTACTGTGGTGAGAGGCTTCGGGCTGACGTGGCACTGTCTGACGTGGCACTCCACTACCTGGCTTAAGTGGCATTGTACGACGCGCTGGTACCCATCCTGACGTGTATTCCACTGATGTTGCTGACTGGACTATAGTGCTGACGTGGCAGACTCAAGCGCTGCTGTGTTGGCACACCAGGGGATACACGTGGCAAGCAAAAAAGTGACCGGTGACATCAACGCACATTGCTGAAGTGCACCCCATTGATGACTATGATTGGACATGCTGACCTGGCATACTCTTCGAGTTGCTGAGTTGGCATGCCAGGGGTGACACGTGGCAGGCACGGTTGTGCTTAAGTCAGAGTTGCATTCTGATGACCGAAGCGGCACGGCTAGAAGATTGACGTGGCTGTGGTGCCAAACGTCAGATTGGGTGCTGATCACACAGAATTGAAAAAGCAGCAGCAGCAAGGGAAGAACGCTAACTATTATTGTGATATTGTTGGCGGACTTACCTGTTGTCTTGTGCTGTGCTGTGTGCCTGTGTACTTACTTGTGTGTGTTGATGATCATGCTGGCCTGAGTCGCAGTACCTGAAATAGAATAGAGCGTCATCACATTGAAATTAGAACAGCAAATATATATATATATATATATATATATATTTATTTATTTTTTTAATTTTTTTTTGGGAAAACAGAACCTTTTGGTTCTGGCTCCTACCATTCTGGGGAGCGACAGTCCGGTTCCTATTCCCCCGGCAAGTCAATATGGGAAAACATGGGTGACTCACGCACGCTCCTCCCCATTATGGCTGTGAGGTCCGAGCGGATGGCATTGATTACTTCTCTGAGGAGAAGGATGTACCACCCCTCACCCCTGCCTAGTTTAGCCTATGCTATTTGCTTCTGTCTGGCTGTTGTCAACCTGCCTGAACCCAGTCCTGCTCCTCTCAGCTGTGGTGCTGTCGGGTTGTTGTGTCATGCTAGGGCGGTCTGGAAAGTCTATGAACCTCTTGAAAGCAATTAGAATTATTAAATTTATGTTCCTTGTTATTAAAACTTTTTGTTCAGATAGCGTGAATCTGGTTGGGGTGACCGTGAAAATTATTCTCTCTTTTATTTATTTTTGCGGTAGAACAATCTGGCCGACGAATTTTCCTGTTTCTGTCCTCCGAAAATGTCTTACTTCTGGAAATGTTTGCAAAAGTCTATTCTGACGAGATTCGTGAGCACATTCTTGTTTCCTATTCCAATCACGCTCTCCGTGGGCGAAGGACCGTCTGAGCTTAAGACTCGGAGGCAGTCTGAGAATAAGAAAGAAGAGTTGTTGGCCTTATGGAACCAGTTTTTGACCGAAGTACATCTGTCTGGACCGGATGCTGAACAACACATCCGTGATAGATTTGATTTGCAGAAGGTTGAAGACCGCCTGAAGAAATCTATCACAGCTGTGGAGGTTGTGGCAGCCGGGACCGAAGCTTCCAAACTGATGGCCCAGGGCCGACAGGCGTTGGACCAGTTTGCTTTGAAGCAGCTGGAAGAAATAATGGAAGCGACTCGTAAAGGCGAGACTAAGCCAGAAGTAACTGAGGCTACGATTGATGCCAATATCCAGCAGTTGAAAGAAACATTGGCCGCGGAAGAAAGAAAGAAAGAAGAATTGGCCAGAAGAAGAGAACAGGAACAAAGAAGAGGACAAAGAGTTAAAGAAATTAGACAGGTAACTCGAACAGAAGTTGGAGAACAGACTGACATGTCACATACATTGTCTCATATTGTGACATACCTTACCTTTCTGGAAGAGAAAATTGACAGGCAGCAAACTCAATTAGATGAGATTGCTGTAGGATCGCGAACAATCGCAAACATTGTGAAAGGAAAGAACCAGTTAGAAGGTGAGGAAAAACAAGAAGAAAAAAAAGACAAGAAAGAAGTGAGAAAGTTGATGGGAGATGCTATGAAGTCTGCCTGTCCCACAATTCGGACAACGTCCAATGGGAATGGACCACTGAGCCCACCATCCTCTCCATCTCATTCTTCTCATTCATCTCCTTCTCCCAAGCCTCCTCCTTCAGCAACTCCGGGTAAGACAAGCGCAGAACCGGAGAAGCCAAAGAAAAAAGAGAAAGTAAAAATGAAATTGCCTTTTACGTTCAGTAACAAGAAAGACGAGAGCATGTTGCTTTGGATTGCTGAGATCCAAACGTATGTGAGCACCGCTCCGGTCGAGCCGGAGTCCCAAGTTGCGTTCACTACCTCTTGCATGGGTGGTGAGGCCAAACAATTGGTGTTGGCCGAGGCCAATGCCGCGGGGTTCGAAGACATCGGCGAGTGGGCAAAGACCCTGACACTGAAACAGTTCTTGACAAAGATCAAGGACCGTTTTCTCGATAAGACGACGGCCGACAAGGCGTTTGACCAATTGACATCGATTGGTTAAAAGCATTGGACATCGGTCAAAGCTTTGTCCCGAGAAGTCGATCGATTACTGCAGGTCCCAGGATTGAACCTGCAAGACAGCCAAGTGTTGTACATCTACTCCCGCACGTTGCCTGAGCCCATCCGGGGACACTTGGTGGCCGAAGCTAAGTCAGGTAAGTACAACTATAGGCGATTTCGCGACCTTGCTCTGCAAAGGGAGCAAATGACTTCTCAAGTCAAAAACTCCTATGCAGCCGTAGTTAAGTCTGGAGGAGGAGGAGGAGGGAGGCCGTACAACGGGAAACGAAGCCTCTGGCGACAAAAGCGCCAGGACCACACCCTTGTCGTCTTTGATGACGACACAGTGGAAAAGTGGCCACTAGAAGATAAGGATAACAACAGTGACTCCGAGAAGGGGGAAGTCACTGCTGTTGTGGCCAATAAGGGAGGGTCACCCAGAAATGGAACAGGGAAGAAACCAAGACCATTTCCATGGCACCCTGGCATTGCCGACGGGAAGCCATGGTTGAAGATGGGAATGACTCGTGAGACTTGGTAGGAGCGCATGGACAATGCGCAATGTCTCAAGTGCGGCACACCGAGACATGTGATCGCATATTGCCCTATGATCCGTAACCCAAAAGCGAGCAACCAGCAGGAGTAGCATCTGCTCCTACTGAGATCAAGGGTAAGGACGAACAGACAGGTAAGGCGCCTACGAACCCTTCCTACCCTTTTTCTCATATGGCAGAGGATGATTCTTCCTTAGCCCATCATCCAGACCACCCTGACATTGTCTTATGTTCTGTCTCTCTGGATGACTCCCTTGATGAGCTAGGTAATGAATTGCTAGCCTTACATAGCTCATGGGCTCGAAAAGCAAAGTCTAAG